TTTGTTTACTGCTACATTCCCAGTGCCTAGAAAAGTACCTCATATCTGAATAAAGTGACAAAGACAGGATTCAAACTCACACTCTCTCTAGTAAAGCCTGCTTTCTTAACCAAGGCCTATTATTATTATTATTATTATTATTGCTCTCAATGCCACTCATTAATTTCCAATCCTATATTCAGGTCCAGGCTATAAGAATAAAGATAATAACCCTGGCTGGTGTGTTCAGTGGATTGAGTGCCAGTCTGCAAACCAAGGTGTCTCCAGTCGTATTCCAGTCAGGGCACATGCCTGGGTTGCAGGCCAGGTCCCTGGCAGGTGGTGTGTGAGAAGCAACCACACATTGATGTTTCTCTTCTCTTTCTTTCTCGCTCCCTTCACTTCTCTTTAAAAATAAATAAACAAAATCTTCTTTAAAAAAGAATAAAGCTAATAAAAGTGTAGGAAAAGGAAAATTAATTTAAAATTTTTATTCATTAATTAATCTATATTTTCTAGAGTAAAAGGGGATGGAGGAACCAAAGGCCTGAAGAATGTTTTAAAATTCTTCTCTTCCCCACTAGGTTTGTGTAAAATCATATCTCTGCCATTGACAGTGAACACTTTAGCCCTTGCCAATGGACTTTATAGATTACAGAAACCCACCTCATAACCCTTCTCCCAGCACCCATGCCTAATCCCTGCATGACCCTCTCCCAGCTGAAAGACGGGTTGTGTTGGCTGTAAGATCAGCAGCTGTATTTCCAAGCGCTGAGTCATATTAAGCTGAAATCAAAAGCAAACATACATTTCTCTAAGAAACAGACAGCCGGGCTTTCATACTCAATACTCAGCATCATGTCTCCGCAGGCCAGGAGCTCTCACAGTGCAGGGATGCCGACCAACAAATGCATTGTCCAGACTAGAGATCATTGTCTAGAAGGTTTTTTTGTTGCTCTTGGTAGTCGTAGTGCTAGTGGTGGTGGTGGTGAGCTGATGATGATGGTGATTGATGGTGAGTGTCTTTAAAGCCCATGTAGAGGCCCTTCCCCTTTGAGGGGTAGGCCACCTCTCCTCCCCAAGCAGATCATGTCTTGGTAGTGTTTACTTTCATCCGTGGTGGACCGGGGGACTTTGCGGGCAAAGTCGCCCCCACAGGCATGTGCCTGGGTGGTGGGCCAGGTCCCCAGTTGGGGGCACGTGAGGGGCAATCACACACAGATGTTTCTCTCCCTCTCTTTCTCCTTCCCTTCCCCCCTCTCTAAAAATAAATAAATAAAATCTTTCTAAAATATAAAAAAATATAAAAATATATTTAAAAAAACCCATGTGGAAAAGTTTATGCAATGAGTATGCTCTCATTTTAACAAAAATGATTACAGTACAATTGCATGTAATAAAGACACTAAAGTCTCTTTTAAGAAATCACACTTGTCCTTTTGTTGGAAAGTGGCCAGGTTGTTTTTGGTGGGTGAGGGGAATATTAAAAAGTATTTTTTCTATTTTTCATTGAAATATGCATTTAAATTAAGGACCACAGATTTGCCAATTGAGATAATAGAAATGGCTATTATGGTGACTTTATTTTTTTAAATTTTATTTATTGATTTGAGAGACAGAGAGTGAGAAAATGTCAGTTCGTTGCTCCACTTACCCGTGCATTCACTGCTTGACTCCCGTCTGGGCCCCGAGCAAGGACTGAACCTTGGCGTGTGGGGACAGTGCTCTGAGCAACTGCACTAACCAGCCAGGGCCTGTTGTAGTGACTTCAGATACAAGTTTTTTGGCACTTGTGATTATGTCTCCGGAGAAACAATGCAGTCTCAAATACTAATATATTCCTATCCCTTCTGCATTTCATTTCCAATGAAGTATATTTATATATATATCCATTATAGTGTCAAATCGCAATGCCTGCTTATTGCTATTTTCTTGAGCCTATTGAAAGTAGATGCTTTATAATTTCTGTAGGATACACTAAGTTTTTATAGTGATCTTGATACAGGGTGCAGCTGGCGGGGGGGGGGAACCCAAAAAAAGATTTGGAATGGTGTCCAGAATTCAAAGTGTATAGGAATATTGGAGAGACATATAAGATGTCCTCACACCTCCCCCCAGGGGGAAGAAATGAATGGAGCCAGGCCATTGAGAGCTGTTTTGCATAGCAACAGTTTTGCAGCTAACCTCTGGAATGGTTATTTAACATATCTCTAACCTGTAACTGGTTTCATAGATATGTTAAATAGCCGTGGCCAAGTTTGGAGCCTGGGAGAAGGGAGTGGTTTTGGATCCAAGATGGGAACTAGGGGCTGCGCCCCTGAGTGAGAAGGCCTGTGTGAGAGCTTGGGAAAAGACTGGCTCCAGGACATGAGGTGAGAACTGCCCAGGTGAAAGGGAAAACCATGCAGCTTTGCCAAAATGGAGGTCCCTGCAGCCAGGTAAAGAAGAAAGCCACATGCTTTTGGTGGAGTGCGGACTCCTGCAGCTTTGGTAGAAGAGGCCCACGCGGCTTTGGGGTGCCCCCTTTGGCTGCATGGCCTGAAAAGCAACAGAGACCCAGAGTGGAACTGGGTACAAAGGACTCTTGCCAGTGGACATGAGAGGGTACCACAGTACTTTGGATTAACTAGAGAGAGATCCTGCCTGCAAGGTGACACAGCTGACGGTGCCAGCGGCCTGCAATACAGACGTGTGCTCTTTTCCTGATTTACGGTACCCGGAGTTGGGACAGTGAAAGAAGGGAACGCTGTGTGGGTCTAGGTATATACCCTAAAGGATTTTGATATTTTAGTAGTGGCATTAAGCCTAAATAGCATTAAATAAACATTTTGTTTCCTTTTCACAAATCTCTGGCTTTAAGAGATATCTTTCCAACTGGCGGCGGACAGAAGAGCCCAGTAGATTTTAGTATTCTGTTCTTGGGAGGGGCCCCTGTTGTGTAGCAGTTTTTGGCATCCCTAGGTGGGCCGAATATTGTATTGCCCCTCCCTCAGACCTCTTGTTCGGTAACAATCTTTGATTCAGTCACAAAAACTGTATTCATTTTAAAAGCTATAGTTTTACATACACTTACCAGAACTGTATGTAATAAAGTTTCAGCCTGTAGGAAACAATTTAGGGAAAAGTATTCAGAAAACTAAAGAATAAATTTCACCTATCTTATATTTTACACAGGTTTATTTGCTATTCATCAAATTTTATATTTTGTTTATCTATATTTTCATGTTTTCCAATATGAAAGACTCCATCCATGAGTATAACTAAATGTGTGGAGGAGTTTTGTTTGTCCTCTTGAAAACTGAGGATTTAACAATCCCCTGTGAAACAAAGCAAGTTTACATAAGGGGTCCCTGGCACGAAAACTAAAGCAGGAAGAGAACCGGGCCATTTTTAGGAGGTGCAGTCAGTAAAGGGTGTCCACGTCTCAAACCCCAGACAACTGACATGCTAGGTAATATGAAAAGATGGAATCAAGGTTAATGATCTGCTAACTTGAGGACAGGGAAATTATTCTGAATTACCGGGATGAGCTGCAAGTAATTATATGAGGTGCTAAGAAGTGTGGAGGGTGATCTGCCAGCCCCTGAGTGCCAAGCGGTGCAGCGGGCTGTGGAGAGGCAGCAGGCGGGTCCCCAGTGGCACCATTTGTGTCCCATGTCTCACCAAACTTTTATTCAAATAACTTTTTAGGACCATACTTAAACCCTTACTACTCAAAATTTGGTCCCTGGACCAGCACCATTTGGCAGAATTGTTAGAAATGCAAACTCTCAGGCCGGTGACTCAGAATCTATGTCTTAACAAGAGCTGCAGGGGATTTACATACAAATTACAGTTTGGGAAGCACCTACTTAACGCACCTTCAGGGACTAAAAAACATGCATTCAATTAGGGACAATGGCAGGGTTGGGCCAAGACACAAAAGTGACAAATAATAGGACTTTTTGTAATTATCTCTTCCTTTTGATGACCTTAATTTGTGACTGGGCCAAAGTTAGAACGAGTGGCTCCTTCTCTCAGGAAGAGCTGGGCCTCAGGAACCCCCCCACTCCTCACCGCCTCTGAGGGATGCACCCTTGGCCACGTGCCACTTCTGTTTCAGGTCAGCCAGACATGGCTTAGCCTCAGTGTAAGAACCCACCAGGCTGTGGGCAATCACACTGCCATACATGGAACCTGTATTTTTATATAATAAATGTTGAGTCCGCACCTAGCTGTGGGACTACCAAGATAAGTAATACAATCTCTACTCTCAAAGGAGGCTAATAAAGAAGGTGCCCGTCCACTAAGAACTTTTGGGAGGCCGACTGAGGGAGGAGCCCGAAGGTTCCCAGACGGAGCAGCCGCACTGCAGCGTGGAGAAACCGTTACTAGGTCTTCCCCGCAGCCTGTGTGCGTTGTTCTCCAGGTGGAACTCCCTTCTTCCATTTCTGTTTACCTACCTTCTCCCCCTCCTCCCAAGGCCAATTTCAAATGCCAGTTTACCAATAAAATCTGCCATAATCCCCTCAGCTAACTATGCTTTGACACTTCAGAACGCCCATCATATCCTGTGTTAAGATTAAGTATGTGTGTTGTAGCTTTATGGGGTGGGAGATATGTCCCTCTGGGCAAAGAATGTATTTTAGTCTTAGATTCCCCACAGGACCCAGCATGATGTGCCAAAAAAGTTTTTGAAGAAAGGAATGAATTAAAGCTAATGCATCTACTCTGTTACTGCCTCTCTATTCAGAAAGTGGATCGGCCTTGCCAAATCACAGAGAAAACATGAGAGAGTACTCCACACTGGCTGGGATATTTAGGAGAATTAACTTCTTTTTCCACGTTTTTCTCTGGTCAGATTGGTTCATTCATGCAGCAACAATGTCCTCATTAGTAGGTCAGTAGTGGTTAACCTCAGCTGTATGGAATTTCATCTAGTTTTCAGCTGTATGAAAGTGGGCTGGCTACCCACTAGTATTTAAGAAGTTCTATAGGTTGCTGGGTAGCACTGTTTAGGCTTGGTTTTCTCTAGGGCTGAGATGTCCCAGCACCAACTCTCTGAAGCATCTCAGCTTGCTGTTAATCGTGTGGCATCTTATCAGCTACACATGAGTGATGCTTATTTATCCATGGTTAGTATGGGTTCTTCGGCTACTGTGAGGGAGGTTTCAGCTCTGGTCTGGGGGATGATATACATATCTTGTACATCCTTAGTAGTGGTGATTTTGGCCATGTTTGTGTTATAACACTAGATATAACAGCAGCTTGGTGGCTAGGATTTTGCTGCTTTGTGACCTAATGATTTTGAGCTGTGATTACAAACTAGGGGTGAAGATAGGAAGAATTACAGTTACTTCCAGTGGGTTCCCAAAACTATATGGGCATCAGACACTGATGGTAGAATGAATAATTTTTCACCCATTTTAGAGTATATATATATATATATATATATATATATATATATATATGCTAGGATTGGTACAATAGATTGGCTTTAAAAGGTCAGTTTATGCTGGACTTCTGCTGTGCCTACATAACGACTGGATATAAGTGCTAGTATTTGGGCTTACGACTCTGAGCCGCAGATTAGGCCTCAGCATTTTAAAATCAGGGTGGCTTCTCTTTGAGGTATCCTAGGTTTGAAAGACAGCTGGGGCCTTCTTGAAGTCAAAGGATGAACCAAGGACCCCAGGCTGAACAAAGGCCTATCTCGGACAAGCACAGAGACAATAAAGTGAGTTTGTATAAGATTTCTAGTCTTAAACGTCAGTGTGTCTCACTTCCAGTTTGTCCACATTCTCGCCCCTGTTCCAGGCCTGCTATTACAATGAAGACACAGGAGCACCTCTCTTTGCCTCATTCTTTGAAGACCAAGCTGAGGTGAAGAGGGAACATGGGAGGCAGTTCCTAAAATATCTAAGAAAACGCGGGTGTAAAATCTGCCTTCCGGTGATTAAGGTGACTATGTAATTTGTCATAACAATTTCTATGGGGCCTTTGCCAGGTCCAGAGAACTAAGTCATTAGTTGCTATAGAACTTGTGAGGTCACTCGTAGTATACGTGGGATTATACTAACCGACTTTGAGGGCAAGCGCTTGTCTTTTCTGTAGCCTCTTCGTATCATTTAGAGTAAGTTGTAGCCACTAAATGCTCATTTATCTTTTCTCAGTGAGCTACACATAGTGTCGTCCCTGGACCCAGCAGCATCAGCATCACCTAGAAACTCATTAGAAACGCAGATTCACGTCAAACCGAATCAGATTCTGTAAGCATGGGGTCCAAGGAGCTGTAGTTTAACAAGCTCCCCAGGTGATTCTCATGCTCTGCATAGCCTGAGAAGCACGACCGTAATGGCCTTTTCCTAAAACAATTAGCACCCTACATCCGCTCTTTAGATCTAATTCGGGTGCTCGTTCAGGTATTTAAAGTGGCTATCTCTTCATTGTAGTGAAACAAACTTTTATTTGCTGGGACGGACACTTAGAAGAACTAATCTAAACCTTAGTTGGGTGTATTACATCTAGAAATAGCCCTACTTATCTGAGGGGTTCTTTGAACTCCAGCTTTATAGAGAGAACTAGTGAATGTCCGGTAGTAACTGAAGTAAAGCTCCCTCAGGGAATTCCAAAGCTAGTGGAGTAGTGCAGATAATTGTGCTGGTGGCACCTATGCCATGTAAGCACCTTAAAGTTACATGGGGAGCTTTTAAAAAATTTGATGCTGAGGTTACACTGCATGTCAGTTGAGTCCTAATATCTGCAGTGGAAATGCAGACATCAGTATTTAAGATGCTGATCATTCCATTTTGCCACAAAGTTTAGAAACTATTGGGCCATAGAAACCTAGTCAAAAGCCTACCCAGGGTGTAGGATGTAATAAGGATGTGCCTGAGGTGACTTCCCTGTTTCACTTCAACAGAGGCCTGATATAGATAACTGGGCAACTGGCGTAAAGGCTCTAGAGTCTGCTCTGGAGATGGAGAAAGAGTTAAGTAAGCTTTTGCAAGACCTGAAGATCGCATCTTATGAGAAGAGTGAAAAGGATGTAAGTAGTTAAGTGGCTCTGAGCACAACATTATCTTTCACTTCTGGATTAGGATTTGCTTCTGAGAAGTGGGTCCAAGGCAGTGTGCCATCCAACATGTGCTTGTTTTCCCCCAAGGAAGCATATGAATTTACTTCTGGGAGTAGATTGGAGGTGGGAGGCGTAGATGCCCTGGTTAAAAGGAATGCAACTCCACACAAGATGGGGGGAGACATCCCAGGAAAAATGCACTCTGGATAATTAAACGACTTAACAAAATAACTCCTGTTGCTGGCTTTTAAATCTCCTAGACAAGAAGTGCTTAAATTTTAATGGTGCCAGAATCACCTGGAGGGCTTACTAAAACAAACCAGGCCTCACCCCCAGTTTCTGATTCAACTAGTTTCATGTGGCATGCAAAAACTTGCATTTCTAACAAGTTTCCAGGTTATGTTGCTGCTGGCCAAGGGCCACATTTTGAGAACCACCATCCTAGATGGCCCCTGCGAAAGTGAATGTTCATGGTGACTTACTATCTTATAGACTTCTCTGAAGTCTCCTTGATTAACAGTGAACGTTCTACCTTGCAATGATAATGTCTTTCTCACTAATCCCCTAGCATCTATGTACAAGTTACGATGCATATTGGACTTCTTTAGGAGCTGTGAAGAGGTTCAAATGCCTGAGCCTTATGCCAGGTTACTTAAAACTTAATCTCTGGGAACTGGGTTGGGGACCTTACTTGAAAGCTCAATGTGATTAAAACAAACAAACAAACAAACAAACAAGGTGGAAAACCACTTCAGTAGTAGCCTGTTTAAATTAATCTATGCTTTTGATGAACTGCCCTAACACTCATACTCATTGAAAAGGGATATTTGTATTTACCTGGAGGTTATGAATGTCTTAGATCAGTGCTCTCTGAATGTCTAGGTGTGTATGAACTGCCTAGTCCCTTCTTAAAATGCAGGTTCTGATTTAGAAGTTCTGGAATGGAAGATGAGATTCTGTTCTTCTGACAAGCTCCCAGGACTGTGGGCCCATGAGCTATCATTTGCATAGCAAGATTTTATTTTAATTGTTTTATCCTCACCTGAGAACATGCTTATTGATTTTAGAAAGAGGGGAAGGGATGGAGAGAGAAACATTGGTTGGTTGCCTCTAGCACCCACCCTGACCAGGGACCGAACCTGCAGTTTAGGCATACTACGACCTTTCGGCATATGGGACAATGCTCCAGCCTCCAACCCGCTGAGCCACACTAGCCAGGGAAAGGGTAGCAAGATTTTAGATTGCTTCCTGCTGCAGACAATGTTCTTAAGAGTCCTTCCCTATTTCACTTCTGTAGCTCGTGCGCCTCCTGGGAAGGTACCTGGAGAAACAGAAGAGGAACACAAGCTACCTGGAACATCAGATTGCGTATCACAAGAATTTAGAAGAAAAGCAGGCCCAGGAGGAAGAGCAGTTTAAAAAGCCTGCTGAAGAAGCGTCAGGTAAAGACTAACATCTGAAGGCAAGGGAGCAAGTCTTCCCACTCTAGTAGATCCCAAAATCAGCAACTTAAAAATCTTAATCTTCTCCTTGTGACAGAAGACTGCTTTTCTTCATTGTTATTTATACAAATAAATCTGTTTTTGCATTATAACTATGTGTAAAGAGATTGCTATTGGAGCACACACCAAAAAGGGTTAATTCCATCAATGGGGGTTTGATGAAAGCTTCCTGAGGACAGTAGGTACATTAGACTTTAAAAAAAACAAAGCCCCCCGCCCCCTTCCCATGATCCCAACACTCATATGCAGGGTCAGGATTTGGGAATTTCAACCAGTCCAGGTAGATACAGAGGAAATTAACTAGTGAAACCTTGGGTCTCACTAATGCTTTCTGCCCCCTCGACTTATGTACTACATATATTAAGTTTACAAAATAGTAGGACTTTCTTCTATTTAGTGTAAAGCTAAACTTGAAAACAAGGTATCTTGGTCTAGAACTGGTGATTCACCTCGAAGATTTACAGTGAATAAGTAGCTGCAACCCAGGTGCCCTTTCATAGCCCACGGGATGCATAGGGAACAGCAGGGTAGACAGGCACCTAAGACAGCGAACATGTGTGTGGATGTACCTGCCCTCCACTGTGGGCGAACTAGCAGCTCCTGGGGTCATTGCTTTCAGGGGCAAGAAAGGAGCGCACAAACATGGGTGGCTAATACCACTTGGGAAGAAAGGAGCTCTATAGGATTGTGTCCTGGCTGCAAAACTCACTAGCTCCATGGCCTTCACAAAGTTTCTACCTCACTCATTGACTGACTCAGTTTAGTCATCCTTAAACTGCACTTAATAGTACTTAGTACATAACATTAAGAAAAGGATTAAGTAAATGAATATGTAAAGTATCTAGAACAGTATCTGTTCAGATTATGTATTATAGTTTATATAATAGTGCCACTTCTTAAACTTGAGCAAAGCCAATACATGGAATTTGCATTAAGACCATAGATAACTGAAATTGAGACTGAATCTTAAAACATTTAATCTTTTAAAATTATTGTTATATTATTGTTATATTGTTTCCATTACTGTATAGGTCCCTTAAACCCCCCTATCCCCAGCAATCACCACACTGTTCTTCTTGTCCACAAGTCCTTTTTCCTTTTTGTTCAATTCCTCTACCCTCTGACCTCCTCCCTGCCACTAGCTGCCATCTGCTCTCCATCTATGAGTCTCTGTTTTGCTTGTTAGTTCAGTTTGTTCATTAGATACCATATATGAGTGAAATAATGTGGTATTTGTTCTTGTCTGACCAGCTTATTTCACTTAGCATAATGTTCTCCAGATCCACCCATACTATGGCAAAAGGTAAAATTTTCTTTTTTACAGCCAAGTGGAATTCCATTGTGTAAATGTCCCGTAGTTGTTTTATGCACTCATCTATTGACGGACACTTGGGCTGCTTCCATATCTTGGTGATTGTAAATGCTACAATGAACATAGGGTTGCTTATGCTCTTTTGAATTAGTGTTTTGGGTTCCTTCAAGTATATTCCCAGAAGTGGGATTGCTGGGTCAAAAGGCGGAACTTTTAATTTTTTGAGGCATCTCCATGCTGCTTTCTGCAGTGGCTGTACCAGCCTGCATTCCCACCAACAGTGCACAAAGGATTCCCCTTTCTCCACATCCTCACCAGCACTTGTTGTTTGTGGATTTATTGATGAGAGCCATTCTGACAGGTATGAGATGGTATCTCATTGTGGTTTTAATTTGAGTTTCTCTGATGAATAAGGACATGGAATGTGTTTTCATATGTCTATTGATCATCCGTATGTCTTCTTTGAAGAAGTGTTTATTCAGGCCCATTGCCCATTTTTTAATTGGGTTGTTTTACACTGAATTTTTAAAGCACTTCATAAGTTTTGGATATTAACTCTTTATAAGATGTATTGGTAAATATGTTCCCCCATACTGTGGGTTGTCCTTTTATTTTGTTGATGATTTCCTTTGCTGTTCAAAAAACTTTTTTGTTTAAAGTCCCATATGTTTATTTTTTCTTTTGCTTCCCTCGCCTGGAAGGTATATCTGATATAAAATTTATACAAGCAATGTCTGAGATTTTGCTGCCTATATTTTCTTCTGGGATTTTAATGTTTATTCTGGGCTAATATTCAAGTCTTTGATACATTTTTAATTTATTTGTGTGTACAGTGTAAGAAAGTGATCTAGTTTCATTTTTCTGCACATATCTATTCAATTTTTCTAACATTATTTATTGAATAAACTATCTTTAGCCCATTGTATGTGCTTGCTTCCTCTGTTGAACATTAATTGACTGTAAATGTGTGGGTTTATTTCTGGCCTCTATATTCTGTTCCATTGATCTATGTGTTGGTTTTTTATGCCAGTACCATGCTGTTTTGATTACTATGGCCTTGTAGTATAGTTTGATATTAGGTAGCATGACTCCTTCTACTTTATTCTTCTTTCTCAGGATTGCTGTTGCTATGTGGGGCCTTTTGTGGTTCCATATAAATTTTTGAAATATTTATTCTAGTTCTGTGAAATATGTCATTGGAATCTTGATAGAACTTGCATTGAATCTATAGATTACTTTGGATAGTATGGACATTTTTTATATTAATTCCTTCTATTCATGAACATGGTGTGTGCTTACACTTATTTGTATATTCAATTTTTTTCTTCAGTGTCTAAATTTTAAGTACAGATCTTTTACATCTTCGGTTAGATTTATTCCTAGGTATTTTACTCTTTTTGTAGCAATTGTGAATTGGATTGTTCTCTTAATTTCCCTTTCTGTAGTTTGTTGTTGGCATGTGAAAATGCAACTGATTTCTGAATATTAATTTTGTATCCTGCTACTTGATGAATTCATTTATCAGTTCTAGTATTTTTGGTGGAATCTTTGGGTTCTATATGTACATTTTCATGTCAACTGCAAATACAGTTATACTTCTCCCCTTCTAATTTGGATGCCTTTTATTTCTTCTTGTCTGATTGCTGAGGCTAGGAACTTTTTGATGCAATGCTGTATTCAGTTTGCTAATATTTTGTTGAAGATTTTAGCATCTATGTTCATCAAGGATGTTAGCCTATAATTTTCTTTGTAGTGTTTTTATCTGATTTTGGAATTAGAGTAATGCTGCCTCATAAAATGAGCTTGGGAGCCTTCCCTTCTCTTGAATTTTATAAAATAGTTTGAGAAGGAGAGGTGCTTTTTTCTCAGAATGTTTGATAAAATTCATCTGTGAAGCCATCCAGTCCAGGGCTTTTGTTTTTTGTTTAATCTGTCTGTTCAGATTTTCTGATTCTTCTGGTTTAGTTTTGGAAGACTGTATATTTCTAGGAATTAAACCATTTTGTTCAGGTTGTCCAGTTTGTTGGCATATAAGTGTTCATAATATTTTTTTACAATTCTATGTATTTCTTTGGTGTCAGCTGTTATTTCTGATTTTATTTGGGTCCTCTCTTTTTCTTTGAATCTGGCTAAAGGTTTGTCAATCTTGTTTATCTTTTCAAAGTACCAACTCTTGTAATCATTGATCTTTTGTATCATTTTTTTAAACTCAATTAAAATCAGAGCAGAAATGAATGAAATAATTTCCTTCCTTCTATTCACTTTGGGCTTTGTTTGTTGTTCCTTTTCAAGTTCCCTTAAGTGTGAAATTAGATTGTTTGTTTGAGCTTTTTCTTGTTTTTGAGATAGGCCTAAAATTATATGAATTTACCTCCTAGGACTTTCCCAGTATCCCACAGATTTTAGATTGCCGTGCCCTCATTTTCATTTGTTTCAAGGTATCTTTTGATTTCTTTCTTGACCTCATTGACTTATTCATTGTTTTATTCATTGTTTAATAACATATTATTTAGCTTCTGTGTCTTTGCATGCTTTTCAGTGTTGTTCTTGTGATTTCTAGTTCCATAGCATTGTGGTCAGAGAAGATGCTTGATATGATTTCAATCTTCTTAAATTTATTGAGACTCGTTTTGTGCCCTAGCATATGGTTATCCTAGGAAACATTCCATGTGCACTTGAAAAGTATGTATATTCTGCTCCTTTGGGTGAAATGCACTGAAGATACCAATTAAATCTATTTAATCTAGTGGGTCATTTAGGCAGCTTTCTCCTTGTTGATTTTCTGTCTGAAAGACCTATCCATTGAAGTCAATGGGGTGTTAAAATCCTCAACTATGAGTGTTCTTCTGTCGTTCTCTTCTTTCACGTCCATCAAGAGTTGCTCTACATATGTAGTTGCTCCTATGTTGGGTGTATCAATGTTTACTAGGGTTACATCCTCTTGTTGGATTGTCCCTTTTATCATTATGTCATGTCCTTCTTTGTCTCTTATTACCGCCTTTGTTTTAAAGTCTATGTTGTCAGCTATAAGCACTGTTACTTCAGGGTTTTTGTTTGTTTTTTTCCATTTGCATATAATATCTTTTTCTGACCCTTTTTGTCTGTGTTTATGTTTTAATCTGTGATGGGTCTCTTGGAAGCAGCATATGTATATGGGTCTTTCTTCTTATCCATTCGACTACCCTCTGTCTGTTGGTCAGGGCATTTAACCCATTTATATTTAAGGTGATTATTGATAGATATATATGTAGTCCCATTTTAATGGGACTAAACTCTTTTCCTTTTATTTTTTTCCTTTCTCTTTTTCTTCTTAAAGCAAGCCCTTTAACATTTGTTGCTGTACTGGTTTGGTGTTAATAAACTCCTTTAGCTTGTTCTTGTCTGGGAAGCTCCTTAGTTCTCCTTTGATTTTAAATGACAGCCTCGATGGGTAAAGTAGCCTTGGTTGTAAGTTCTTGCTTTTCATCACCTTGAATATTTCATGCCACTCCCTTCTGACCTGAAATGTTTCTGATGAGTAATCAGATGACAGTCTAACTGATGGTCCTTTGTGGGTAACTACCTGCTTTTCTCTTGTGGCTGTTAGGATTCTCTCCTTGTCTTTAAGCCTTGTCATTTTAATTATGAT